CTTCCTTCCAAGGAGTGGCTGGTGGGTTTGAACCACCAGCCTTCTGGTTAGCAGTCAAGTGCTTTAGCCACTATGCTACCAGAGCTCCTGATACTGCCTGGGAAACCCAAGGAGGGGACGCTATGAGTTGGATCTGACTCCAGGGCAGTGAGTTTGGTTTGGTTTGGTTTTATATATACTTGCAGTAACATGTAGAAAAGCAAAAAAGTACTAAAGAGCTTATATAAACATGATGTGCCTATAAATTTGTGTAACATTTCACATCTAAAAATAAGAAATTCATAGCCATTACTATAAAGAAAAAATGACTACTCTTCATGTCTCAGCTTTCCAATCTAATAGAGGCAATTCAGGAGTGATGACTGAATAAATGATAACCCAAAGTTGTATAGTATTTTACTTATTCAAAGTATTTTCACATCTGTTATTGGGAAGAAGTGTTATGTCTGTAGAAAAAGAGAAGTAGTTCACAAATATTCTCATCAGAGTCCTGTGTAAGTGTTGTGTCAATATTCCCAAATTTCCAGGACTATTTTCTTTCCATTACATAACTGTACACAACAGGCAGGCAGGAACAGAGTTTACTTGTAATAAAATTAAAACACGTCTGTTTGTTGCTTTGCAATACCAAGCAGTGCTTAGCCGTTTTCCCTTTCCTCTCAGATAGATCCTGTAACTCTGAGCACTGAACTAAAAGAAATTTCCTGATGACTATTTTGAATTCACTGACATTTATCCACTGCCAGTATGTAGTTACACAAAGAGAACTCCATTCTGAGTACTGAGGTTGTCCTACCAGGTCACACTGACATATGAATCAATTGTTCCAAGAACAATACAATGACTGGTTGTCCCATCTTTAGAGACACTGTGTCTACCATATAGCCAGGTAGTTTCAAGTCTTGCTTATTACATATTCTCCATATAATGATTTGGCTTTTCCATTGTTGAATTCTATGTGCAATGGATAAGACTCTTAGGAGCCTTTGTAATGCTCCAGAAGGTCCTTGGGTGGTGCAAGTGGTCTGTGCTTGACCACTAACCTAAAGGTTTGTGATGTGAACACACCCAGCAGTCCTGCAGAAGAATGGCAATCTACTTCTGTAAAGATTACAGCCAAGAAAACCCTATGGAGTACAGTTCTACTCCGGAACATGAGGTCATCATGCATAGGAATTGACTCAATGGCAGTGGGTTTGATGACACTCCAGAGACTCTGGCTTCAGTATGAGGGTTGCACTGGGATCATCTTCAACTCAGATGAGAAAATCTCAGCATATACACATACCTTTTCTTGCAGCTTCTTCTTACAATTCTCATCTTTGGCTTTAAGTAAGTTCTTGGGGTCAACCAAAGGTTCATCTGCTCTTTGCTTTTTCCACAACTTGGTGTTCATATACCATGCTCCATACCTTATCTTCATCCATTCTGGTTTACAAGGATTCTATAGGAAATAACAATTCCCAATGTCATTAGTTCATCATTTCAATAAATCTAAGATTCAGCTTGTGAAAGCAGTATTATTATTTTCAATTTATGGTTGATCTTTACCAAAGAATTTTATGAATTTTTTATGTTCTGATTTACAAAGGTAACATGAAAAGTTTATGATTGAGAAAATAATACAGTGGTTAAGCATAGTTGAATTTAGACAAAATCTAGGTTCAAATCCAGACTCCCCTACTTAGTAGCTGTGAGTACATGGGCAAGTTATTTCACTTTTCATCTTTAAAATGGAGATAATTATACTACCTATCCCATGGTGGTAGTGTGAAGATTCAAGGAGAGAATGTATGTAAAGTAGCTAAAATTCATAGAAAAAATCACAAAGTCACTCAAGGGTAATGATGTCAAGTAATAATCAACCAAAATAATAAATTCTTAGACTTACTATGAGCCCATCACTATGCTCAGCCTTGTACATACTAAACTACTTTTGATTAAAATGTTTTCGCAACACCAACCTCTTGTCCTTTAATTGGAAGAGAGAAAAAAAGAAGAGTAGAACACCCTTCTTTCTTTCTTCCATTCCTCAGTAGTACAACAAGGATGTAAAGAGAATGTCTTGTTGGTTCATAGTCTGAATCTATGAGTATAATGCTATACACTATCTTATCAAAAAAGGGGGGGTATAAGTCTTGGGTGGAGCAAAGAAACATGAAACCACAAAGACTCTGCCCCTTTATGCTCTTACTAAAATTTAAACTATGTAGTGGTAAGTCTGGTGCATTCTAGAGTCTAGCCAGATACACTTATTCTAAAACAGAGACAATGGGACAAAGTAGATAGGGCAGAAATCCCTCTTAGAGTTGGATTCAACATTGTGATCCCTCCACTCCAAGCATACTGCCCTTCTGGCTATTTCTAGAGCACATCCACTCTGCTTCTGCCTCAGTTCCTTTGCACTCACTGTTCTCTCTGACATAATGCATTTCCCTAATAAACCCACTCCCTTACTTCCTTCATGTCCCCTTTTCAGCAGTATCTCCCCTGAACACCCAATTTAAAAACTGTAACTCCCTCACAATACAGCTTGTCTTCCTCTCCTGCCTCAGTTTTCTTAACAGCATTTATCACTATTTGATATGTTACATATTTTTCTAATTGATTGTGTCTTTGCTCTTACTCTCTAAACTATAAGCTTTAAGAGGTAAATATTTTTGTTTGCTTTATTCCTCACTGTCTCCACTTGGTTATGTAGGACATAATAGACTCAGCTACATGCAGGGTCCAAGCATGCCACAAGTTGAAGACCATTCCTAAAGCTTCTCCTTATATACTGGAAGCAGACCACATCCCTAAAGCAGCTACTCAGCTGTTCGTGGCAGATTCCACCATGGAGTTGAGTGCCAGTCTCATCCTGGGGAATAACTATAACCAGCTGCCCAGCCACTCAGAACCAGGCCCAGCCAGGTTGACATATAACCTTAACTACTACAGCACTCAATAAATATTTGTTGAATTAAGCTGAGTTTCTTAATCTTAAGTCCCTGGGTAGCACAAATGGTTTGCGCTCATCTGCTAACTGAAAGGTCAGTGATTCAAACCTACTCAGCAGCAGCATGGAACAAAGCCCTGGTGGTTTACTTCCATAAATAACACAGCCAACAAAACTCTATGGATCTCAGTTCTGCTCTGTAACACAGGGGCTTGCCAAGAATCAGAATTGACTCCATGACAATGAGTTTGGTTTGTTTTTTCTTAATCTCAGCACTACTGATATTTTGAGCTGGATAATTCTTTGTTGTGAGGGCTGCCTGTGCACTGCAGAATGTTTCATAGCATTCTTAGCCTGTGTTCACCAGATGCCAGTAACATTCCCCCTGTTCTAGTTGTGACAACAAGAAGTATTCCTACACATTGACAAATACACCCTTGAGGGAAAAACCACCCATGGCTGAGAACCACTGAATAAAAGGAAAAAAAGGAAAGAAAGGGGTGGGGGGAGAAAAGGAGGAGAGATGGAGCGGAATGGAATCCACACTATGCCCATAACTCACTAAAGAATGTGAGTTCTAGAATATGTTCTTTTGTGTAACTAGTGATCTTTCAAGGCCCAGCACAAACATAATTTGTTCTGTGAGGCTCTGAGTGAACCTACTCTCACCCCTATATTTGATGCAATTGATTATTTCTCCCTGTGTCATGTAGACTCCTCAGAATAGAGATGACCTTGATACGGATAGAGTAAAGCTTTTGGGACCTCCATTGGCTGATGTGGCACAATTCAAAATAAGTAGAAACAGATGCAAATATCCATTAATAATTGGAACATGAAATGTATGAAGCATGAATCTAGGAAAATCAGAAGTTGTAAAAAATGAAATGGAATGCATAAAGATCGATATTCTAGGTATTAGTGAGCAGAAATGGACTGGTTTAGGCTATTCTGAATCAGACAACCATATGATCTACTACGCCAGGTATGGCAATTGAAGAGGAATGGTTTGGCATTCATCGTCACAAAGACTACTTCAAGATCTGTCCTGAAATACAATGCTATCAATGATAGGATAATATCCATATGCCTACAAGGAAGACCAGTTACTGCTATTATTCAAATTTACACACCAACCACCAAAGCCAAAGATAAGGAAATTGAAGATTTCTACCAACTTCTGCAGTCTGACATTGACCAAACATGCAATTAAGACACGTTGATTATCACTGGGTTACTGGAATTCAAAAGTTGGAAACAAAGAATAGTTACCAGTAGTTGGAAAATATGGCCTTGGAGATAGAAATAATGCTGGAGATTGCATGATAGAATTTTGCAAGACCAACAACTTATTCATTGCGAACACCTTTCTTCAACAACATAAACAGTGACTATACACGGGGACTTCACCAGATGGAATACACAGGAATCAGACTGACTACAACTGTGGGAAGAGGTGATGGAGAAATTCAGTATCTTCAGCCAAAACAAGGCCAGGAGCTGATTGTGGAACAGACCATCAACTGCTCATATGCACACTCAAATTGAAGTTGAAGACAATTAAAACAACTCCATAAGAGCCAAAATATGACCTTGATAATACCCCTCCTGAAT